AGAACCGCCATTACCCACTTTCTCTAATAACCCGGGCAACGCCGGGTCCCCAAGCTAGTAAATAAATAAAAGGGAGAAGCATGCCAAGAGGAAAGCACACCAAGCACCCCTGACCAGGACCGCCTTCCACCTGGAAACTGATGTCTTCACTGCGGGAGAACATGCAGATTAAGAATAGGGCTCCACAGCCACCTACGGACCCACCACCAAGACACTACACTTGGAGCACCCTCATCCTCGGGCTACGAGGGATCGCCTAAGTAAGGTCACAGAATCGTACTGGGGGATCTAGAGATTCCTAAGGAGAACATTTAAATTAAATCCTCACATAATACTATCTGCAAATGTGGAGGGTCCACTATATATATATATAGTACTTGAACCCATCTCTGCTTCTCCCTCTCCTCTCAAGAGGGCCCTTCCACACAGTCATATAACCCAGAATATCAAGGCAGATGATCCACAATATCTGCTTTGAACTGGCTTATCTCAGTCCACACTGCCCTATAATCCATTTTTATGTGGATTGTATACAGCTGTGTGGAAGGGCCCTCAATTTCATAAAGTGACAGGTCTTGGATCTGAGCTGCCCTTACCTATCAGCTGGGTGTTTCTGCCCTTCTCCGGCAGGGCTTGGCAGAAGATGGTCTGTTGGTCTGCCTGGGACACTGTCTGCTCAATCTCTTGCAAATAGAGGCTTGAATCCATGCGGTCCAGTAGTGCCTGGAAAGGCAAGACATGCCCATCAATAAAAGAGTCAGGCCCTCCTCATGCGCAACAGCATTGACATAGAGACTCATCTGTTTATGCTTCCGCTGCATTATCTCTACAGTGTAGATGCATCCATGCCTGCATTTTCCATCTAGAGCAGGCATGGGCACATTTGGGCCCTCCAGATGTTTTGGACTTCAACTCCCACAATTCCTAACAGCCTATCAGCTGTTATTGTTATTGCAGACCAATACTTTGGATTAGGGAAGAACTAAATGAGATGGCATACTTTAATGAGCTCATCTTCTGCCTCAGCTTGTCCTTCAGCAGGGAACACGGTAATGGAAAGATCTGGGTATTTGATTCCACCACCTGCAAAGAATAAATGGGAATTCTTTTTTTAAGAAGGCGAATGGGTTGGATAGAGTCAAAAGCAGATGCTGGGCAAGTGTAACCTACCCCCCACCCCATTTTCCCCCCAAAAAATATGGTTTTCAAAAAGAAATGGCTCAAACACCTTATCACCCCATGGGCCATGTTTGTGGTTTTATGAGGTCTTTAGCCTTCTCTGCCAAAGGGAACTGCTGCCTCCATAAGTTGCAGCTCCCATGATCCCAGAGTACTGAGCCATATCAGTTAAAGGGGTGCCAGACTACAGGAATACTCCAAGGTAGGTGTAGCCTACGTGTGGCACATTCATTCTCACAGACCCGTGAAGCCTTACCTGGCAAAGGGATCTCGGCATCCTTCACCGGCTTGGCTTCCTCATCGATGTGCCCCTGAGCAGCATCTGGTGATTTCCCTTCCATCTCCAGGGAACTGGCACACACTTCCTGTGACGGTCCCTGAGCAACAGGAAGGAAGATTTCGGAAACGGAACTTTCTCAGGTGAGTGTGCTTACTTTAGATTTGGTTTTGGTCACAAAGGTAAAAAAATAACCATAGAGTTGGAAGAGACCACAAGGATCATCTATGTTGGAGCATGCAAGGAATTGGTCAATGTGTGTGTGTTAACTGCAAAATAAAATGCATGAAGCCGATTGGTTGGGCAATGCATGGGGTAATGGCTGAGCCAAGAACTTTTGGATACTGTTGCAGTTTTGTTCAGGCTCAAGCTATGCAGGTGCAGAGAGATGGAGAGAGAAGAAGAGACGGGCAGACTGATAGGCTTCTTGGCTGCTGAAAGGTTTCTTCATATGGACAAAGAAATACCATTTCAAATCTCTCTGATGCAATTTATCATAGTGAACATATATTGTTCTGAATTAATAAGACTAAGCTACTTGTTCTTTACTGTTCACCTGCATGGCATATTTTCTTTCCCTGGCAAGGTTGTGTGTGGGCTGACCAAATGTGAACTACATGTGGTTTATTTTACATTACACCACAATCTGGTCCACTGCTTCTTAAGCTCTGCATATGTCATGAAAAAAATACAATGAAAGCACTCCCAACAGATGGCCATGCAGCCTCGGCTTCATTAGCCCTTGGAGCCTCACCTGCCACTGGGCTGAATCAGCCCCTTGCTGCCTCTTGAGGAGGAAGTCCTCTGCCAGGGCCACAGCCGGGGACAGGTCTCCGGCCCTGTGCCTCGGACCCATCCTTGCAAGTCTTGGGGAAGGCTGGCCAGGAATTGCTCCAGGACCAGCAGCTCCAGGATCTGCCCCTTGCTGCATCTCTCTGGCTTCAGCCACCGACTGCAAAGCACCTGGACTTGGATGTACACCCTTCGCGGATTCTCCACCTCTTGGCAGCAGAACTGCCGAAAATGCTGGTGGTGCAGCTCTGTTCTCAGGGTCTCTGCTCTCAAGATGGCTGCCTTCACTTTCCCATAATCCTACCTGTCCCTGGCTTCCAAGCTGCAAAAGGCCTGCTCTGCTTCTGCGCTCAATGCGGGCAATAGCTGGGCCGCCCACTCTTCCTTTGTATAGCTATTGCTGTACAGCAGTGTTTCTCAACCTTCCTAATGCTGCGACCCCTTAAT